CGGGGGTGCCCCCGGCACGCCGCGGAGGACATGGGGCACCCAACCCTGAGCAGCCCCCGGTGTGGCTGGGGAGCCCTGTGGGGGGGGGGGTGGCTGCAGACTCTGGAGCCCCCCCAGGGAGGCACAGACCCTGGCGAGAGCTCAGCCTCAGTACCAGGCACCGGAGACTCCACTGCAGCTCCGAAGCCCAGGTGTTTGTAAACCCCTCCTTTCGGCCTAGGTGATGTTTTTCCCTCTGGGCAGGCACGCGTGTCCATGCACACATGCTGCCAGTGTCAGCAGCTGGGGACCAGCCAGTCTATTTCTTTTTAAAACTTGACATAAGCAGGTAAATTATCCCCGAGTAACGCATTTACCACGAGAGGGGAAACGTCGTGGCCGCCGCCACCGGAGCAGGAGCACCTGCCTCCCATTCCCCGCGGTGACGGGGAGCCTGAGTTATGGCCCTGCTGGGGAGACAGGGGGGTTGTAAATGCCTCTGTTTGTGCTGTTTTCCAGCCTGACCAGAGCCCATTGATCACCGGGGCAGGAGTAAAGCCAGCCAAGAGGAGCAGGAGTGGGAAAGGCGGAGGCAGGCGGCCGGAGCCGTGCATGGAGCTTGTGCATCCTCTTGGGACGCGTAGCCATGCCATGCGAGGAGCTGGTGCATGCAGAGATGCTCGGAGCCAGTCTCCCCTGGGATCTCTGTGTCCTTTCCCCACTGGGAGATCCCTGGCCCAAGGACACAGCCCGCGTCCTTCACCCCTTGCACGAGCTGGTTTGCTGGGACACGGACAGCGACAGCAATTTAAGTCAAGGACCCCATGGCACTACAGGGTGAAGGTCCCTGTGCTGGGGTGGTGCAAGCAGGGAGCCTTGTGGCACATGTATTCGCTATGAAACAAGGCTGGTTTGGGGGTGAGGACTAAGCCTTTATTTGGCCATGTCTCACAGCCACTAAATGCTAGCAAGGCTCCTTGGGAATTGAGAGGTTGTTTGCTCCCAGTGAAAATCAGACCCTGCCCAAAGAGCCGACAGCCTCAGTAAATGCAAGGAGGAGGGAAACTGAGGCACAGAGCAGCAGCATAGCAAGTGGAGATGTCCCGGGTTTGATCCAGGGCCTCGATATTGGACCCTTTTACAACCTCATGCATGCACTGTAGCACAGCCGGTGTTGAGAGATTTATCTGGGCAACACGTAAACTGCTCTGAGTGAATTTTCCCCTGCCCCGAGGCAGGCAAAGGAAGGGCCATTTGTCCAGTATCCAGGCTGAACCTGAGCAGTCTGGGGGCTCGCATCCCCCCCACTGCAGCAGCTTTGCAGCAGCATCCCAGCCACTCACACGTGCAGCGAGCACGAAGGAGGCGAGAATTGGTGTGCTTTAAGCGCCTGGGTGCTGCCCCCACCGCAAAGCTGCCCACCCTCTCCTGGAGCCCTGCACAGGACCAGGCTGCTTCACACAAAGGTTAGGGATGGTCAAGGGGCTGTGTCGGATTGGGGTGCTCGGCTTGTGGGGTCTTACCTGCAAGTCACAGGCAGGTTGTTTCCCATAACACAGGTAGGGAAACTGAGGCAGGGAGGGTCTGCTGGGACTCGGGGAGCAAGGGAAAGTGGCAGTGGGCCTGTCCTGGCTGCACCATCCCTGGTAAGCCATAGGGTAAGTCACTTGTCTACCAAGCTTGAGGCCCCTGTGCAGACCACCCCCATGGGGCATCATGGTCAGCATCCCCCCACGCGGCTGGGGGGGGATGGTACTGGGGTGTCCAAGAGGGCACCGGCTCCAGGCTTTGCTCCTCCAGGCAGAGGCTCATGCTGACAACCAGCCCCTGCCGTGGCCTCCACCACGGGACATGGCAGGGCATCCCGTCACATATCCATGTTGTGTTCCCATCAGAGCAGCCCTGCCATCACCCGGGTGGATCCTCCTCCAGCCAGAGACCACTGGTGCTGGGAACAGAATCTGCAATGCTGGTGCATCCCCTGCTGCATCCCTCGCTCCTGCTGCCCACTGGCTGCTCAAGCAGGGCTCTCACTCCACATTCCCCAGCCCTGCAGATGCCCCACACAGGGAGCTCTATCCCCCTGCCAGGCCCCCCCACCTGCACCCCAGCAGCCCTCCCCTCACGCTCCATGCCACACCGACATCGCCCTGGCCATCACTACCGCTTGGTTAATTAATTTGATGGGAACAGCAGGGACCGCACTTTGCATTTAGTGAACTTCCGAGAACTTCCAACCTCATCTTCATAATTGGCCTCATAAATTTGAGGAAAGAGAGAAATCAGCAAAGCCAGAGGAGCGCAGGAGGTGGGAGAGGCCCTGCACGCGGGAGGGCGGGCGGGTGTGTGAGAAGTGACTCTATTTGGTGTCCTTATTTAATTTTATTGCACAGATCCATCTTCGCCCGCCCCCTCCCTGCCTAGCCCTCTCTCTCCCGCTCTCCCTGCTGGGTTCACCTAATCATGATAAATTCATATTCATTTCCCTGCCTGCTCCGGCGGGGGGAGCAGCTCCCTTACATTCGCCCGGCCGTGCTGCCATTAGGAAATATTTACTCATGAATACGAAGTGCCAGCATTAGAAGCCAAACCACCCGCTCTGCACCCCTTTTCCCCCCAGCCCCAGCACCCTCCCAGCCCTGCGCAAGGCCAAGCATGATGGGTGCCCTCCCTGCAGGGTGGGAAGAGCTGCCTAAGGCTCAGAGCTGCAGCGACTTGGCCCTGGCTTTTTCTTCCTTTTACCCCGGGGGCAGAGAGACCCTTGATGCTGGGGGAGGATGGGAATTGCCTGAGCCCCCAGTCTGGACCCACCCTGGGGGTGCAGGCAGCGGGGGCTGGGAGCGAGGGGCTCTGCAGCAGGAGCTGAGCCTCTGCCCCGGCTCCCCGCCTCGCCTCTCAGTCTCTAAGCGCTGCTGCATTTGAGTTTATTTTTAATTTTCAGGATGATCAGACTCACAGCCAGGGAGGGTGGGAAGGGGGTGCGCTGGGGAGGGGGAATAGCTGAAGCCCCTTCCTGGGAAGCAGGAACCAGGCGACACCTCATTAGAGATGCCTAAAACCGCCTTTGCTCACCCTGCTTGCACCCATCCTGGGGGCTCAGCACCCACCTCCTCCCAGGCACCCCGGGAGCCTCATCTCTTGTACCTCCTTTGGAAGCATGGCATCCTGGGGTTCAGAAGAGGCAGAAGCTGTACTGGGGTAAGGGGGTGGCCAGGTCCTGCCCTGCTGCAAGGGCAAAAGAGGGGTCTTGGAGGAGCACGTGGCCTCAGGGGATGCCAGGCTGGAATTAGCCCCTGCAAGTGACTGGGAGGATGGAGGTCAGGATTAGGGGCACAAGGAGGAGACTGTGTGGGGCAGCTCTGTCCCCTCCACCCAGGGCAGGAGGGACTGCCCAGCCCAGGGCTGACTCACAGTGGGCAGTGCGGTCCAGCTCCTCGTATTTCTCCCCTTGTACCAGGATGAGGGAGACGCAGGAGCCTTCAGCATCCAGAAATGTCACCCCCAGCTGCTCTGGCCGAGCCTGGTCATGCTCCTTCACCTCCTGGCCCTTTGCATCTGCCACAGTTGCACCCAGGTGAGATGACCCCCATCCATCCTTGGGCCACTTGGCTGCAGCTGGCCACAGGAGGGCCCTCTGCCCCCTCCAAAGCTCCTGGGCAGGAATTTGTGGGCTGGGAGGGGACAGACAGACACCAGGCCCCTTCCCTCACAGGGCAGGGGGCTGGCAGGACCTCTCCCCCAGCAGCCTCCACAAGACAGCCATGCACTAGGGCCACCCTCACTGCCATTTCCCAAGGGGCTGGGTGAACAGTCCAGTCGGAGCACCCCTGGCCCCACACGCCCCAGCCTGGCCTCCCCCCGCGTAAAAGCTGCACAAACAGCAGGGCCAGGGCTTTGATGCGCTGCTGCGGCACCCGTTTGGCACCAGGGTGTGAATTCTGTCCTTGGAGAGGTGGGTGATGAAGGGGAAGGAGCTGGGGGCCAGCAGTGCCAATCTCCCCCACCTCCAGTGATATCCCCAGCACGTGGCCCTGGTGAGAGGGGCAGCCCCAGCCCTCGGGAACAGCTCACCTCGGCATCCAGAGCTGGAGGCAAACCTGTGTCCACCAAGGGGCCAAGGTGAGCAGCCCCATACTCTGCTCCCTGACACAGCCCTGGCAGAAATAGATCCATGCCCAGGGCTGCCAGCTCTAGGAAGAATCCTCCAGGATCATCCCAGCAGCACTGCAGGGAAAGCGAGCCCCCATCCAAGCTCCCTTTGGGGCAGGGCTATCCCCAGCCCTGGATGAGGCCAGCTGTGGCCCTGCCCAGCCAAGCCGAGATGACCCCAAGGATGGGGACTCTGTCCTCTCCAGGGCTGGTCCCAGGGCTGCACAGCCCCCCCCGGGGAGGGGGTGCTGCCCCTGGACCTCCCAGGCCCCGGTCCGGGGCTGACTCCCCTTTGCCCCTGGAGAACTCAGCCTAGCCCTCACTGGCTCTGCCCCAGCCTCTGCCCACCCCAGCAGCCCCTGGCCCTCCTCAGCTTCTCCATCTCCCTTTTGAGCCCATGTTTCTTGCTGCTCATCTCCATGTGCTCCCTTGGTTTCCAGGCTGTTCAGATTCCCCTTGGAAAACCAAAGCATTTCAATGCTCAGGAGACTGAGCTGTGTTCCAGGCACAGAACAGGACACAGAGCAGCAGCCAACTCCCAAATACCCTACCCTGATGAAATACGGAAAAGCTGACAGCAATCCCTCCCTGACTCCACACATGAAGTAAGAGCTCAGCCCAAGGCTCAGAGCTTGGGAATTGCTCCCTTCTCTGGGCACGGCCAGCCCCAGCGCAGCCACGTGGCCAGCTGGATGCCGGGACAGAGCCAGGTCCCTCTCTGCCATGGGAGGATGGTGGCCACCAACTCCCTACCCTGGGAGCCAGAAGCGGTGATCCAACAGTGTGAAGGTCTCCCCTGCCTTTTCCCTGCCTGTACTGAAAACAGGGAGATTGGCCAGCACAGGAGGGGCTCCTGGTGAGCCAGAGAGAAGAGTCCCAACAGTTGCAGGGCAGAGAGCAAAAAGACAGAGATGTGAAGGAAAAAGAGGGATGGGATTTATTTTACTTCAAATTTCAAAGCACCAAGAGATGCCAGAAGACATTCATTTCCATCAGGTGTTCGGCAGAAAGGCCGGGCTGACAAACGACGCTGCTGGGGTCAAGGTCTCCCCAGCAAATACCCCAGCCCCACGACCGGTGCCCAGCAGCCACGGCTGACACTGCAGCAAGAAACTGTGCAAACCCACCAGGTTTAATGCCCTTGTGCCTGCCCTGGCAGCAAACACGCAGCTTGGCACTGCACATGACGAAGACATGGCAGAGTGCAGAGAGGGGGTGGCCAGGTCCCCCACAAGACAAGGGAGTGGGAGGCCAGGCCCAGAGACCAGCCAGAGGGAGCCCGGGGGTCCTTCCACAGAAACACCCACCATGGCGTTCCTGGCAGCCGCTGCCGCAGAGCAGCACCTCTGCCAGGAGGAACCACTGCAGTACCCGTAATGGAGACAGAGCATGGGGGCATTCATCTCCAGAATATAAAACCAGTTCAGGTTTCCTGAGAAATCAAATCCACTCCCACGGAACTGGCGAGGCCAGCACACATGTACATGTATATTCAAATGCGCGCGCACACACACACACTCTCCGATCAAAGACAAGATGACTCCATGGCTTCCATACGTACAAAGGGAAAGCTTTGCTTTGCCCAAATTAGAACTGAACTATCTCCTCGTGTTTCTCTCTGCCTCCATGCCTCCTATGCACGAGCACGCAGCCCTGCTGGGTTACATTCAGTGCCATTACACTCAAACCCTTCCTGACCACAGCTCCCCTGGGCCACAAGGTCTGCTCCCCTCCTGCACTGAGAGGAAAGGAGCCCTTGGGGCCACACGGGGGGACCACAGCCCTGCACTGGAGGATCCTCAGGAAACGATGGGCTGAGAGCAAGCAGGCAGAGCCCAACGGGTTCCTACACCTCCTTCAAGGCTTACCTGGCACCAGGGGAAGCTGGTGGCAGTGGCAGCATTCTGGCCCTGTGCAATGAGGCACAAGTCAGCTCAGATGGAGGGAGGACACAGCAGCAGCACAGGGGGACCCTTCACAATTCCCACAGCAGCAACTGCAAGCAGTAGTGAGAAGGGGAAAAGCCTGTTCCAGGGCCAAGCCAGACCCTGGCTGCCTTCACACACAGCTCAGGACAGAGATTTTAGGGTGTCTGTGCACAGACACACAGGAAGACGCAACCCACTTCCCCCATCCCCAGCACTGGGAGGGGCTGGATTACAAGGCTCTGCAGCCCAGCCTTCTGAAGCTTCCCCTGGGAGAGTAGGGCCAGGGTAGCTGATGGGCAGCAAGCCCTTTTGGTAGCCAGGGGCTGCCTGTGGCATCAGGCAACACTTCCAGCATGGTTCCAGCCCATGGCCTCTGCTGGGTGAAGCCACACAGCTCTGCCAGCAGCAGGGTCCCGCGCTTGCGAGAAGCCCCAGTTTGCTGGGATATGTTCTCCAGTCTGCAGTCACTGCAGAGCAGCTTTGGAGAAACCAGCACCCTTCAAAACAGCAGCACAGCAGTGGGCCCAGGGTGCTGGTTGACAACCAGGTGTCACCAGTCCCGTTCTGAGGGCTCCCGGTAAGGCAGCCCCAGCTGAATGAAGACATCTTGCTCAGTGGGAGTGGGCAGAGCATGGCCAGATGACACCTTGACACCTCCAGGGCCTCGCACCACGGCTAAGCTGAGGGAATGCTCCGAGAGGCTCATGCCCTTGGTCTTGGCCAGGGCCCGCATGGAGCGGTTGAAGTGAGCTGAGCCGGTGAAGTAGAGCAGGGCGCAGGCAAACTCACTGTAAGGCACCACGATGATGTCAAGCCGGCGGTGACGCCGGGCTGGCCCAGGGAGGCAGCACACCCCCAGGTACTTCTTCTGATCACCGTTGTCCTCCTGAGTCACCAGGTCGTCCGTAAGGAAGCCTGGGGAGAGGGAACAGGCAGAGAGGAGCTGAACGGCAGAGACTGATACCCTGACTGTGAACTCCCCACTGTCCAGACAGCAGCTGAGGTGTCTCTTAACGTGCTGTGGGACCCCAAGGGCAACCCAGCCTCAGCCCTGAGAGCCTCACACAGACAGCAGAAGCCATGCTGAGCTGCAGCAATACTCCCTCCTTAGCCCTGGCTGCAGAGCTGCTGCCGGAACAGGGCCAGGACCAGGGGCAGTGCTCCAAGGACTTAGAAGATGTCCTGTCCTTGGGAAAAGCAATCACCTGCCCTTCCATGAATGCCATTCACCTCATTGCCTCGTCAGTTTAGCCATGCTTCGAGCACCATGTGCCAGTCCCCAGCCCTCTTACCGCTCCTGCGGAGGCTGTCAAGCAGCTTGTTGAACACCCCACGGTGAGACTGCCCATCTGGGTGAGTGACCAGCACATCCACATCTCCACAGGTGGACTTCCCCCGACGGTAGGAGCCACATGCCACACACACGAGCCCAGGCTTCAGGGCCAGGGCAGCTTCTCTGACCTCCAAGAAGAGAAAGAGGGGTGAGGAGTCAGAGATCAGTCTCTTCATGCCCTTTCCCTCAAGGCAGCAAAGGATCTTGTGCCTGCCTTGCTACCCGTCCTGCATCTCCAGGGTCTCCATACAGAGCAGATATTTGGCAAGCAGGGCAAACTGTCCCACCAAGGAGGCTGGCCTGCTGTCAAGTAGCCACATGAGCCAGGGTGGCCTCCACCCAGTACCGCAAATGCCCAGCACACTGCCACACAACACAATTATTTACCATGGTGCTACCATCAGTCATCAGCTCTTGAGGGCACTGGGCTGGAGCTGGGTTGGGACAAGCAGGAAGATGCAGCAATGCTGAGGAGGCAAAGTGTGGCTCAACCTTTCAGAGCCTTTGGTTTCTGAGACAGCAGGAGAGAAGAGGTTTTTCAGCTCTCCTGTGGGCCAGGAGGGCAAAGCTCACGAGCTCTGCCCACAAAAAGAATAATTTCAACACAAGATGGCACAGGTCCTGTTTCAGAAGCAGAGATGGGCTCATGGAGAGTTTCCTCAGCAAGACCCAAGACAGCAGAAAATCTGCAAGTGCCCCTTGGAGTCCACTCCTGCCAGGGGTTCTGCCTTTGCAGGACAGCTGGGCTTTGTGACCCGGAAAAACCACAAATACCAAACAGATTTTAGACCTAACAGATGCCAACGTGCTGCTGCCAGCAGACACATATAATCAGAACTTCCCCTAATGCAGTCACCTGCATTAGACCCTAGCTCCTGTTTTGTGCAGACAGTGCTAATTCTGATGGCTTCATTCATTAAATGCTTAAGAAAGGCTCCTAGGTCCTTGGACAGGAGTAAAGTATTCTGGGTCTGATTGTGCCAATCATCCTGCTGGCAGCAAATAATTAGGGGCTCAGCAATTCCCAGTGATGAGACCATCACAGAGGCTGGGGTTCAGGAAGGCAGTGTCCATGCCCACATCCCCTTGTCACTCTTGGGGATCATCCTTCATTAGCAAGAGATAAACCCATTAACCTTTGCCCCAGAGGTGCTCCAAGAAGCCACAAGCCTTTCTCATGCGGAGCAAGGCCTCCTCTGGTGTCCTTACCCCCCTTCTGGCTTTAAATGAAGATTTCTAGAAAACTCCCAGCCCCACCCGAGAGCCTAAAAGCTCCTCAGATCTCACTGTGACAGGCAGCACAGACAGTGACTAATCCCTCATTCTCTCTCCTGGGCCTGGATCAGAGGTGTGTGCGTCTGTATGGAGGGGAGCGCAGTAATCCCATCAAGATAACAATAGACCCACCCCCAAGAGCCAGCTCCTCGACCCAGCCTGCCTGGGAAAGGGACCGCTCACCACCAAAATGGCTAATCCGGCACACGGGACTGACACCCCAGCAGGAGCCTGGCAGGAGTGTATTCTTCGTGGCCAGGCCCTGTGGCCGAGTGACAGGGTCACGCTGGCTGCTGCTTCCATGGTGATCAGAGAGCACAGGGGTAGCAATGATGGTGTGTCCCCCACCTCTCTGCTCACATTAGGGTACACTGACTTAGCACCCCATAATCCTGGAGTGCCACGGCATAGTAAAGCAAGCAGCACCCATCTGCAACCTGAATCCCCTTCGCTTCCAGCAAGGATATCCATGCTCAGTCTCCCCACTGACAACGAGCTCACAGGGTGCCCACAGCTTCCTTTGGACAAGCAGCACCAGGAGACAGCTCAGAGACTTGGCTGAAAGCAGATGTCTCAGAGAAGATGAAAGGCAGGAAAGAGGAGATGGAAACCTGCTCATCCCACCATGCCACATGCAGCCTTTTTCAAAGCAGCATGTAGTATGATCCTTTTCCTTGCCAGGCACTCAAACTGAACCTTTCTATGGGACAAAGTAGGTGCCTTGCGTGCCCATGCCCAAAAAGGGTCCCCCAAGCACTGACCCTGCTCACTGGAGAGGCTGAAGAGCTCAGCCATAACAGCAAGTGACATTTCCACAGCATGCACCCTCCTGTCAGGTCCCAGCAGGTACCCTACTCTGAGGGCCTAGGGTCAAGCTACTCACGGTCTGTTCTATTTCTGCAGCTTCCTCCCGGGGCATGCGCTCCAGGAAATCCGTGTAGTGCTTCAGCCCCACAGCTTGCTGGCGGGTGACAGTCGCCTTGGTGCGGATATCATCCAGCGTCCGGAAACCCTAGGGCAGATCATGTGATGATATTCAAACATCTACCGAGATTTTGTTCTTCAAATACTTTCAAGCAAGATTTGGGGAGATTGTATTTAACCTGTCTCAAGTCCAGGCCATTCACAGCTTCTCAGATCACATGTAGAGATCACTTAGGGCCTGGTTCCTAAAAGAAGGGATTTAGGCAATCCCACTACCCACACATACCTCTAATCTCCATCCCACAATGACTATGGATCCTAACTAAACATGACAGAAGGCTACTGTTCTTAAGGCACTGTGTTCCTACAGCTTGAAGGAAAACAAGAGATACAGGTGAAGTAACAACACCCAGAATATCCCAGCGAGGGAAAGCCTACAGCATGAACACAACCGTATTTTTAAGACAGCAAAGAATACAGTCACAAACCAAACACTACAGGAAACCAGGCTTCATTAGCTCCATGCTCAGGAAACAAATTGTTTTTAAAGAGGGAACCCACCCAGCGGCCTGGGTTGCTCATGTTGGCACAATTACTTTAACTTCATTTTTACAACTGCCAGACAAGGTGGACGGCTGCTCTGACAGCTACAGGAGCCAGCCAGGCCAACAGGCCAGCAACTACATCAGGAGGTTTCATGGCCAAGATGTTCTGGCTCAAGCCTGGCTCTTAGTGTCATTGCAGTGAGCAGTGTGAGCTGAGCTCCAAGCAGTGATGCTAACGGAAGAGGCAGGGTGTCCCCCACTCCTCCTATTGCATGTCTCTGTTGCCTATCCTCCACCCAAACTCAAATCTCAGCTGGGTGCGCTCCATTCTCCCCAAAACACACCCACAATGGGACCCAGCCTCACAGCTCCTCCCATAACACCAGACTCAAATCTTATCTGTGGATATTGGCAACTGGAAACTACTTGTGAAAGTAATTCTCTTGCACTCAGAAGCAGTCTTCAAACCCTAGTCTGAGACCCTCTTGCGTAAGGCATTAAACTTACCTGCTGGTACCACATCTGAGCTGTCTTGACCCCCGCTCCCCAGATGTTGGAAAACAACTCCAGCACAGGCACACTCTCACTGATGTGATCCAGCTTGCGCAGGTGCCCACTCTCCAAGATCTCCATGATCTTCTCTGCCATTCGCTTCCCAATCCCAGGGATTTTACAGGCCTCCTAGCAAGAAACCAGAGCTGCTACTGGAAAAGTGAAGGCTACACACAAGCTGGGGAGCTGCTACCCACTCAAGAGCCTGGTTAGTCGTTTGATCAGTGACTGATAAGTGGCAGGACTAGTTCTGAGTGCTGCTCTCTTCTCTAAGCCAGGCTTACATAGGCTACATTGATTCAATGCCAAATGGAAACAGACAAGCATGCAGAACGGGACTGAAACACTAACACACTGAATGGCTGGGCTGTCACAGCCAATTAGGCCTAGGTCCGATTAGTTTTATGTATTATTTCCAATGGTGGCAGTTGCTGATGCCTAAGAGGAAGGTGAAAATGTCCACGAGCATCGAGCCTGGAGAAGGCATTTAACTCATGGGTGCTCAGATTGGCCCCTAAAAGACTCAGACTCCCCTTTTCTGCTCATCTGAAAACACCACAAATGGTCAGTAAGTACAACTCGCACTTGCTACACAATTTTGATCAAAACTCTCCCGCAGGAGGGAATTGCCAAGGCCTGAAGATAAGCTATTCTGTGTACAGAAAGAGAAAGGAATCTGGCTCATAATAGAGCTAGGATGCTGGGTCTATCTCCCTTCTCCACCACCCTGGCAAGGTGTTTTACCTGGTAGGAGGTGACTGGTTTGTGGTAGCTCTTGAGTGCATTGATGGCTTTGGAGTAGCCCAGAGCTCTCCACTTGTCCCCCTGGACAGAATAGGCCTTTGCCAGCACTTCCAGCTTCTCTGTGATGCACTGGTTGTGATTCTCCTTCTTGCTGTTGGAGGAATGGGCACAAACCCACTTGCTGGCAGGCTGGGCCACCGCAGAAGAGCTGTCACTGGTCTCCTCTGATGATTTTGCAGGGTAGCGGCCAGAAATCAATGCTTCCAGATCCCCCTGGGTGACACTAGCATCTTCTCCTTCACTGTCTTCATCATCAGAGAATTTCTTTAGGGAGAGGTAGAAAAGCAGCCATGTGAAAATAAGTGCATGACTCACATATGTTCCCTTGGCACAGGCTGCTCCTGAGAGTAGCAAGTCAGAGCCCTAATCAACCTCCAGTGTGTGCAGTGCTCAAATTGCCATCTCTAGAAGCGGTTGGTTATATGCACACCATAGCTCTTCATGCCCCAAGCTACCCATATGCACACCTTGAAGCTACAGCCACATCTCACAAAGCACAGGAGACTAGAGACTGCTGTCCACCTGTGATCCAGGCACACACACACCTCTCCAATAGCCAAGCCCCTGAGACCTAACTGAGGTGAGACACTGGTTAAGTGAGCAACTGCTGCCAGCAGCAGCGTGACAATGCTGAAACCCCTGGCTGGGGGAGATCCTGACTCCCTGCTCCCACTGGGAAACCTTTCACTGGTCTGGTGGCTGCATAGACACATCTCCCACATTCAGACTCTGCACCTTCCACCCCATGATGCAGATCACAGGAGATACGCACTGAACTCTGTTTTCACACTACAAATACAAAAATCTTAACAGGGTAGTAGATTACAACCCCCCTATTTTCCCCATGGCTATCTGCAAGAGAAAAGGGGGAGGAAGGAATGGCACAAAGGACTCCACATTCCTCAGTGACAGAAGAAAGAAGCAATGTATACATTTGCTGATACCCTGAGCATTAGGATGCCTCTGTGTGGACTTAAGAAACAATGAGCCTTGGCTTCAGGTAACGAACAAAAGGGGATAGAAGTGGGAAGCCACACAGAGGCTTTGTAGACTGCTTTGCTCACTGGAGTCCCCCTCTCTCCTGGTGCATAAACACAGGAGTCCACGAAGATCCAAGTGCTCCTGTACCGTGAAAGTAACCCTGAATGGCACAGGGCTGTTTGGGATCAGTCCAGCAGTTACATGTGGCACACAAGTCCTGTTATGAGTTTCCACAGTGCCAGCCTAACTAAGGCAGAGCCACATCCTTACCACCTCTGGCTCTTCTGGCTAGGGAGGTCTAGAGACACAATTCCTTCAAGATACAGAGCTGAAGTCTTTGGGCAGAAGAGGCAGGATGATTCCCTTTTGTAATCTTGTTTTATAACTCTGAAAACTGGGTCAGACTGAGGATTTGACAGACTACAGCAGTTTTATTCGCCTTGAAACGCAACTCCCTTAAGACGCTGTTCCCTCTAAGGGCAGCAAAGCCTCAGAGTGCTCAGATCAGTTAGGAAGCCCCTTAAAAGCATTTAAGGAACATGTTATCCAAATACAGCACAAACAACTCTGCAGCTGGAGCATGCAACTCCCATCCTTTTGGCCAGCAGCGTCACATAGGTGAAACAGCACATAAATCCCTGGCTCTCTATGCTTTGCCAACAAAGCTGATGGACTTTTTATAACCATACATACAAAGCCAACTAGTCCTGTGAGCTTCTAAGATCAGGATCCTACAGCAGCTGACTTGCCAGAGCTAGGTGAGACTGGGATGTGCATCGCTTGTCTGGAGCACAGCACAGGAGCCAGGATAGCAGCTGAAGCCCAGTAGCTGAGGCAATACGTCCCTTGAGAGGGAGGCAGGCAGCCTGAGGTAACAGCCCCAGGGTTCAGCCAGTGAATAACTGGCACCGCTTGCAAAGGCTGCCTTGCAGAAAACTACTGCATGCAGATGCCAGGCACACAGCGGTTGCTACAGTCTGACTGGTAACAGGGTTTCCTCACAGGAGTTTACATCCAAATGCAGAACTCCCAGAGCAGCCCCTGCTCAGTATGAAACACTGGCACGCTCATCACTTCCTACAAAAAAACCATCCACCCAAGTTAGAAAAGACTGTGCTTAAATGGAGGCTACTTCTAAGCTGAGATTTCAGCTTCAGCTTTACTGTTATAGCTGGGTCTTAAAAGTGGTTGGTACTGTCTTTAAAGCATATCCTGTGGGCTCTCTTCTCCTCCCCAAACTCACATAGTCCTAAGCTCGGGACAAGGGATTTTACTGAAGTGTGTACAAATATTGCTTGTGTGCACAGACTAACAGGAAATATCATTGCTTGAGGGGATTTAAAAGAAAAGAAGGCAATAAGGCTTCAGACTCTAGCAGCTGTCTGACCACCCAAAGTAAATGCAAGCAGAAAGCAGGGCAGATACCACAGGATCCGTAACAGTACAAAAGATCCTTTCTCCCATTAAGTGTGAGATTTGTTAATAACGATTGCCACTAAATTAAAGTTACAAGAAACAGCAAAGATGGGGTAACTGCAAAGGTGATGCAGTTAAGAAGCAGCCAACTCTGCCTATAGCACACTAGATAGTAAGTCTGGGGAAAAAAGATCCCCCCCTACGCATATTCAAGAGAAAGCCTAAAACAAAGGAGCCCTCAGTGGGCTGCCAGTTAGGGAGTAACTACAGGGTTTTGTGCAATGAAATTGGGACTGTGTTCGAAAACAGATGCCAGCATTACAAGGCAGCTGCTGCTCTAAGAGGTTTGGGGTAACTTCGATACAGATAGATTTGAATGATGCCAATGCCCAAAAAGAATTCAGCAAACCTGAGGAAAAAATAGAGAACGGAACAAAAGCTAACAGCAGGTCGGAGAAGCTGACTCACAGCAAAGGCCACTAATAACCCAACACAGATATTTTAAGCACACCACCGCAATCGTTTGAGTGGCAACCTGATCCACTGCACATGTGTCTGAACAGGGTGCCTGCCAAGGAGCAGAGAATGGGTCAGTATGGCTGAGGCAGGAACACGGGATGAAATATCAGAGACAGCTTCCTGAAAGGGAGATATTCTCAGCCAGGGAATATTCCTCAAAAGGATGCAGGGGAAACATAATCACCAGAGTGAGCCTTGCCCCGATCAGAGCACCAGGACTGCTTCAGCTGGAAATGTTCTGATGGGGACAGGAATTTAAGGGGTGGTACTCCTACTTTCAACACCTAAAAGGGAGGAGAAGCAGCAACCATGTCCACAGCCTGAGTCTGCCAGCACCAACCCGCTGAAACACCCAAACACCTTTCCTTTGCTGAGAAAATCTGGCATTGTATTCCTGCAGGGATGTTCTTAGCCAGGAAAAGCAGCATGCGGGATCTTTTCAAAAGGAGAAGGGCCTGTGTGGGAAGCCTCACCTCAGCCAGCTGCTGCTGTCCAAGGGTGCCCAGGCCTCGCTGTGAGGAATCCTCCACCTGTGCTTCAGTAGTATTTGGTTTCACTGCTCTCTCCTCTGCTGGGGACTGGATCTCTTCGCTGCCCAGGACCTGCTGCTGCTGCTCTTTCAGCAGTTCTCCCTCTTCTGGGTGCTGGCCATGGATCAGATGCCTTAGTATAGGAGAAGGAGGATTTCTCAGCCCACAGAAGTTTGACTGAGAAATCCTTCTGCATGTTTTGGGACGGAGCAAACAACACATGAATTGTACTCTCTCACATCACAAATTAATAACTCTGGTTTTGGCTCAATTCCCCAATTCCCATCTAACTTGCTGACCTGCAAGTTCCACTCCTATCTACCTCACTCTTAAGACTCTTTCTCCAAAGCTTTGCCAAAACATTTTGATCCTAACCTGTGGCTGCCTGCTGCTCCATTCCTTATTTCCTCTTGTGCCTAGATGTCAATTCTCTCTACTTTTCATCTGCAATAAGCAAGAAACAGCATTTAATCCTCAGCGTTTTTAAAGAAGTCTTCTTGTTATCACTAACGGATTAGGAATAGGTGCCTTTAGCACCTGTAGCAAGTGACAGGACTCCTGTTAGCACTTCTGGGCTCTGTTCCATGTTTTGCTACCCCACAGAATGGCAACTGGTCACAAAGTCACTAAATTTCACAGCCTACATGGGGAAAAGTGACTTTGAGTCATGCCCACAGGAGCTACAAGGCGTTGCAGTCCGAGATTTCAAGTAGAGGTCAAATTTTAGTACTGTTCAATTTAGGATAGAAGTGCTGTAGGGAGGGATGACAGCGTAGCATTTGCGTACCTGTGAGGGATAAAGACACTGTAGCCAGTGGTACTCAGCAGCTTCTGGTCTCTAATACAAGCGCTTAGCCAGGATGCCTTCACTAGCTGCAACCCTGAAGGTTGCTTGGTTAATTTAAGGAGCCGAAAGGCCCGATCACCATCCATGTCTTCAGCCACAATGACGTGCGTCACCTCCGAGGAGAGCTGGTTGCGTACAACACCCCCATTCTGGACAATCTGCTTGTGGAAGATCTCTGCCCTGGCTTGGCCGATGCCAGCTTGCAACACGTAGGCGGTGACTGGTTTCAGCCACTCTGCTGAGGAAAACACAGGGGCAGGAGCTCAGTGACAAGAGAAACAGTGTCCCCAAATCAATGGGGCTACATGTCTCACGTAGGACTTGACGGCACCAATGGTGGCAGGCAGTCTTTGGGGGGCACCAGCTGGACGCACCAAAGCAAGCTGGCCGTGATCTCTACAGAAAACACATGCAGGGTCCCTCTGGGGGAACAGCAGCCCCCATTCACAAGCTGGGGTAGGAGTATTATATTCCACGTCATGGGCGTGCAGGACTTACCCTCAGGCATCTCTGTTCCTTCCTCTTTTGGGATCTTTGGAGGGATGCTTTTCCCTGGGTCATCCCTCACCTTCTTCCTCTTGGGAAAGGCTTTGACAATCCCTTGTGGCTCCATAGGCCCAGTGGGAAGCTTAGCTGCAGCTGCTGAATACCAACAAGAAAGAGGGAGATTGCTTAGAACAGTGTTAGACAACAACTTAAGATTCACTTATTTTGCTCACTGGCTTTGCTGGTTTGGAGTTGGTCTTTTGCTGTTGCCTTCCTAAAAATGCTTGGTCTAAGGGAGACACCTGGAAACAAGAATTGCAGCCCACAAGGTCAGAAAAATCAAAGTTAGAGACCACCAAAAGGCCACTTAAGGCAACCGTGCTTGAATACATTAGAAACCACTACAGCTGAGTTCTTATAATAGAAAGTATTCAACTACTTTAACATTTTGGAGCTCTTTTCCTGCCCAGCCAACAGAAGCAAGTTTATTTCCCAGATATTTCTTAAGCACATTCCCAAGAGGGAAACGCCTCTCCTGCCACGGCTGAAATCTAATCACTGATGAGAAGAGATAAAACAACTGATTGACACCAAGTGTTTCATACAACCACGGGAGGAAAACCCCCAACCTGGCTTCAGCTGGAAACAGCAAATTAATAAAGATTAATTAGCCAAGTTCAGTATGGGTACACCTGTAGCTTTACCATCACAAGCCTTGCAAAAGCAAACTCTGGAGCTTTAACTACTGGCCCAGGCTACCAGGAAGTTTGGTTTTCCATAGCCCAAACCACCCCCGAATTGCTGCATATCCCCACAGCCCCTTCCACCCGGCTGCAGCGTTAAGCCAACACCAACACAGTTTCCTCTCCGCGCAGCACTTTGTGTTTTGCTTAGAGGTTTCTCAGGCTCAGGCCAGCACAAACCCATCACGTGAAGCCTGGAAGAGCTGTAAAGGGTCCGACCTGGCCGCGTCTCCTCCCTGCGGTCACCTCCTCCTCACCCGAGCATTAAGCGCAATCCTCTGAGAGACCGACCCAGAGCTGGACTCAGGTCCTTGCTTCTGCGAGGAAGAGTTCAGCTTCGGGGGAGAAGAAACCCTGCAACGTTTCTAAAACTCAGCTTCAACGTTTCTGTTTTCAGGACAATTTAACCCCCACCCCCCTCCCCCGAAAACAGCACTATTTGATAAAGAAAAAAAAAAAAAACACCAGCTTCTAGGTACCCAAATCCTTTTCAGGGCTCGGCAGAGTGCTTTTACAGGCAATATTTGACCTCACCTAAGACAAAACACGCGCTCCGGGAACCCAGCCCGCCTCGCCAGCGTCCTGGGGCCGTGATGGCTTCAACGC